TTCATGATGTTTGATATTGTAGGAGATAGAAGCAATAGTTATTGACGGCAATGGGACTGAGCCAGGCCACATAATATTAACAAGTATTGGTGGTCGAAGTGGCCAGCCAAAGAAGGTAATTTTCTTTAGCTTCTATTCTCGTTTTTAGCTACCCCTAAATCTGTCAGCTTATGAGAATTTGTCATTTCTGTTTCTTCTTAAACAATGATTATTGCACCAGCAAGTCGCAACAAAAGCAATATTCAATACAAGATCGTAACTTCCAATTATCTTAGAGAAGGGAAAAGATATACCTCAAAGTCGGAGTGATGAGGACATCTAGTTTGGACTATTTAGTTAGTATTTAATTTGGGCTTGTATTATGTTTTGGGCTTGTCCAAGCCTTTTATTTTACTTTTGGGCTTGTATCATGTATTGGGCTGGCCCAAGCCCTGTTATGCTTTGTATTGTATAAAAGTATGCAGCTTTCTATGCAAGGGAGACAGATTTGATGGAAATGAATTGAACATTGAGTGTTGCAGAAATCTCCCTTTTCCCCCTTCTCTTCTCTTCTCTTCTCTTCTCTCCTCCTCTCCTTCTTCTCTAGCTGTTTCTTTACTGCATGTGTTCTGCTTCTTCTGCTGCTTTCTTCAACTTTTACAGATTTTGAACTTCTCAACCTTTGCTACATCACAGAGGTACCTGTTTGAAAAAAATTACAGCGCTCCAAAAAACCTAGTCTTCCAGCCAATTCTTCTGTAAAACTAGCTCTGGAGTGTTCGCACCTTTGTGGAACGATGTTCCAAATATTTATAGGGTCCAAGCTATGCAATTAGTGGAGTTTATATGGGGATTATTAACAGAAAAATTCTGCCCTAAACCTCCTCCAGAACACTGGCTGAATTTCTGCACACCAAGTTTGAATTAGTTTGTCAAAATTCTGGTTCAAATAAAAAGATAGCCTCCAAGTCAATTTCTTGTGAGGCTAGCCAAGTGCAAGTTGTTATCTTAGGATTTATGGCTGGTATATATGTATGAAATAATCCACGTGCTTTCGCAACCTTCATGAGAAAAGGGTAGCGGATAGGTCAATTAACAAAGTGAAAACTTCTTAGAAGAAGTTGTTCATTAAAATATAGCTTGGCTTCTCAATCATTCTGTTCTCACAAAGAAGTTCAATTAGGTGGCTGGATTTTCTTGTTTCTCTCTTTTTTAGGAAAATGAGGGGACCATTGTGTTTTGGGAATTTAGCATTGGCTAGTTTCCTCTTGTGATATGTTCCCACGTGCTAAAATTCCATCTAAACATGGTTTATTTTGTATCCAAAATAGGAATATCTATCGCCAACAACCTAACCTAATTTAGGGGGTGTTTGAGCCACGTTATTTTGATAATAATGCATTATTGAATAATGTATTGATGAGAAGTGTGTGGTTAAAAAATAAGGAAAAGTTTTTTATCTGCGTGTAATATTATTTTTTTGAAGAATGTATGGTTGAAATGATGTTAAATTACTGTTTAAAAATGTATTTTTTTGAAATAATATGGCTCAACAGATAGGAATATCTAAAACCGGTTAAATTAGAATAAATATATTCTCATTTCTCATTAAGATTATCTTGGTTCTCTTTTGAGGTCTGGATGATTTTATTCATGCATCCAAATTAATATTAACAGAGACCCAATAAAATCCACATCTTGCAATTTTTGAGTGACTACTAGTAGTAGTTTGATTGGGAATTCTAGAACCCATAGGAAAATTCAAGCTCCAAGAAAATGTCACAGTACCTACGAAAATAATTCTATTGCTATTCATGAATGTCCTATTAATTAGATATTCATTCTCCTAAAGAAATACGAATGACTTTACAATCGTGTACAAATTATAAAAGCAGTGTAACTTTATCGTGTACTTGACATAAATCATTACGAGTTGTCTTGCTGAACAATTTAGATTACATCTTGATGTTGCAGCCTTTTTCAAGTTATTAATCACAACCGTGTGTTCACATAGACCTATTTATATTTAAAATTCAATCCAACTGCAATAAAAGTAATATTAAATTCTAGTCTCCTTTCATTAAAATTACTCTGCATAGGATTTTAATGATCACAACTCTCAAATTCGCTTCAGAGGAATCATGTCTATTCAAGAGATATCACGGTGTCTATATTGAGAATATATGGTCCTAATATCATAGACTTATTGTCCAAGATATCGAAGTATTGCCCATTAGTAAGGTCTCGATTGTAGTTTTTTTTTTTTTTTTTAATTCTAGAATAGAGTGCGGACGAGTCCAGAAATTATCTTTCATCGATAATTTAACACAATAATCTTATTATATTTCATTGACAATAATCTTGTTGAATATTTGGACCCCTATAAGTTAAGATTCATTCAATGAGAATCATTTATTTCATAGAAAGTTTGGCAATATCCTTGCATAGGGTGACCAACAGAATACTTTGACATAATGCCTGCCGTTTCAGGTGCTCTTGCGAGGAACCGTTGAATGAGAAAAGATTAAAAAGAGTTGGAATGGAATCTAAAGAGATCGTCGTTGACCTCTCTTCAACTACAAGATCATGAGAGACCCTGTCTTTTGACGGGCAACTTCTGTATAAAATCTTTGGCGGATTGTTCCACTCGGTCATTGCTAACCCGACTATAACCCATTCTTTTAGACTTCTTCCTCTTTACCATGCTTGTGATGATTCCTCATCTTAATCTGGCATCGGTTGTTGCCAAATGTTGATTTAACATAGTATGAATTACACGAAAGTTGCTCCTTCAGAGTAGTGTGGTCTTGTCAATCACTCCAATGATTTGAGTCTATTATTCTCTCAAGATTAAGTTTGTTCACAATATGGTAACTCGAATGAAACCCATCCTAGGAAGTATTTTATAGAAATATTATCTCATTGGGTTCCATTCAACGTAACCCGTGTGATGGAACACACTAGTATGTCAAACCTAAATTCCCATTTTAGTTGCCAGGACAAGTCACCCCGTCCTATGGAGGTCGAGCGAGTTGCCCTAGCTCACCACCAACTTTGAAAAAATACTCTCAAGTCTAAGATGTTTTACATCTTGTGTTATGAGCCAATTCTTCATGCACTTATTATCTATAATGGGAACTTGTTGGGCGAATTCTCATATCAACAGCATAACAAAATACATGCATAGAATGCATATAAAGAATATGAAACTTCATTGAAATTTCAGTTCATTACACACTGGGATGACAAATTCTTAACAACCGTGTCCATTTACCAAATGCTACTCTTGGTTTCTATGAGCACACTCCTATTTAGAGCCTTGGGATTGCTTAGAGGATGCAACTTCAGAATTCAAAAGAGAGGTAAGTTCTTCTGTTGCTTTAACTTGGATTTTTTGATAGTATTGGCGTATGCATTTATTATACTTACTCAAAGGACAATCACAAATATCATTGTTTGATCTTCATTATCCAGGCAAAATGCTTAGAGACGGGATAAACAGTTGCAATAAAGAAAGTTCTTCAAGATAAGAGGTATAAGAACCGAGAATTACAAACCATGCGTCTTCTTGACCACCCAAATGTTGTGTCCTTGAAGCATTGCTTCTTCTCTACTACTGAAAAGGATGAACTATATCTTAACCTTGTACTCGAATATGTCCCTGAAACTCTTCATCGTGTAATCAAACACTATAATATGCTGAACCAAAGGATGCTACTGATATATGTAAAGCTGTACACTTACCAGGTAATTTGTTGATCCTAGCTGTGCCTGCTGCTTGTCCCATGTTCGTAGTCTTGAAAACAAAATTTGGATGCCAAATAATTTTCTGTCTTCTCTTACAAACAGCTTTTATATTCACATTTTAATTCACTGTCAATTGTGATGAAACTTCCTTGTCCTAAATCTTATTCAAGTTTTTTATTAAGTAGAATCTTATGTTTATGTTCTTCATGATAATTGGTTAGTAAACTTCAAAATTGTAAATGTCCTTGACAAAATCAACTTGTAGGTGGATCAACTTTCATAGTTTGTTCTTTGAATGAGAAGTTTGAGGGCATTTGTCATACTTTTCTGCCTGAGTAGTTGTATATATTTGAGCTCTTTTCTAAGGTTAATAGTTTTAGAGAACATAAATATTTCTATTTGGCAGATTTTCAGAGCTTTATCATATATCGTGGTATTGGAGAGTGCCACAGGGACATCAAGCCTCAAAATTTGTTGGTACAATTTATATTAGTTTGCATGGTTCTATATTTTTTCTGTTTTGCATTTTTTATTTCTACATTCTACATAGGTAGAACTTGCCTAAAAACGCTTGTATTGTTAGATATCTTTAATATGCTTTATGCTAATGGGGTTCAAAACAATGATATGTACATGTATGCTATTCTATTTCTTATTAATCCCACTGCTCACTATTCAAATAGGAAAATGGGCATTTGATGTAACTTTTCATTTTTTCCTTACTAACTGATACCCAATAATTTTTGTTGGTCAGTCATGTACATCGCAACAAATAAGAAAATTTTGTTGTAAGGGAATAATTATTTCAGCTGGATGTCCTGAAAGGGAAAAAGAACCATTCACTAATGGTCAGAGAGATTACATAAAGTTTATAAGTTGGTGCAAGATAAGATTAATCTACACGTAACGAAGAGCTACTTGTCCACTGCAGTTCCTCTGTATTTATTATTATTATTATTATTATTATTATTATTATTATTTATAATAAATAATAATAATTTTTTTTGCCGGACGGCCCTTTATAGTTCATCTGTTGGCCTGTTTAACCGAAGGAGAGAAGTGCTTTGTGTATATGCATATAGTTCTGTGAAAAAATTCAGCATGTTTTTGGTAGTTGCAATCAGAAAGATGACTTATTGGTTGATGAGTGATTGATGGTGTGTTACAATTAAAGTTGTGGCATATTTCGAATTAAATATCATTTAATGTTTCCCTGTGAACATTAATTTGGACGGGACTCCAAGGTTTGTTCAAATGATCATCTGTATATATCATTCTGTGAAAAAGTTCAAACTTGTTTTTGTAGTTGTATTAAAAAAGATGGTTTATTCTGACAGATGTTGAAGACAGCATTTAAATGATACACGTCTCTTTTTTAATAGCTTAAGTTTTTTATATGACTTGTAAACTATGGTTAACACGGATTTACCAATGGTTTGTTACTAGTTTGTAAGTTCTTCCCTTATAAACAAACTATATCTTTCAGGTTTTGGGTACACCAACAAGGGAATAAATAAAATGCATGAATCCTAACTATACTGAGTTCAAATTCCCACAAATCAAAGCTCATCCGTGGCACAAGGTACTTGTAATATTAGGTAATGTTAGGATTTCATGCTTAATGTATCTTCTATTGATTCCTTTTTCTTTGTTCACCATTTTCGGTAGAGTGGAGAAAAGGACTCCTGTAATTGCCTTCAGTCACCTTCTTATTCTTTGCTTTGCTTTGCATCAGATATTCCATAAACGCATTCCTCCTGAAGCTGTTGATCTTGTTTCTAGACTGCTGCAGTACTCTCCTTATTTACGTTGCACAGCTGTGAGTGAGTATATGAAATTCATTTTTTTTCCTTTCAACAAAATTCTCTCTATGCCTCATTTAGTAGGAACATTCCTCCCACGCTGCAATCACCTTTAAGTATTTGTTTCTAGAGTACTGATATTTTCATAGTTTCCAACATCTGGTTGGAACAGGAATAAAAGAATGCATGTGATGGTTGAAATAGACTGTCTAAAAGGCCCAATAATTTTGGAACTAATTGACTAATCTGTACTTGATTCTTCTGTGTGTAGCCACTATTGTAGGGATGGTAGAAAAAGTATCCCATATTTGAAGCTGAGTGGAACCATGAGTTCAACTTTTTCACGTTTACGTTCTCAAATTGTTGGTGTCTCTTTCTTCTCATCATTTGCACTCTAACTTGCAAATTGGATTCCTTTCGATGCCTTGGCTTGACTCATCCCTTTTTCAATGAGCTATGTGATCCAAACATGCGCCTCCCAAATGGACGTTTCCTTCCTCCATTGTTCAATTTTAAACATCATGGTATGAAGTTTTTGGATGAAATTACCTCACATTCCCAGAATATTGTTTTATTTTTGTTCAAGTTCCTGTAATCTTTTTTTTTAGGGTTGAAGGGCGTGCCAGTTGAGACCCTGCTGAAGTTAATTCCTGAGCATGCCAGAAAGCAATGCCCCTTCCTTGGGTTATAATCTCTCAAAATATGGAACAAAACATCAAGTTATTTTTTTATGCGCGCCGCCTGTTCTCAGGTTCACATTGTGTAGTTCGTTTGTATCTCCCTTTTTTTTTTTTTTCAAAAGATTAGGTAACCTTGACAGGTATTTTGTTTACCCTGTATCTAATCAACTACAGCTTTTGCTAATATGTGGATAAAGAATGAATCTCTATCTGATTAACTATTTGATGTTCGAGTTTCAAGTTTCAGCGTTATCATGTCTACCCTGTTTCTCTCTCACCTGCAGATTTTGACAATATGTGATCAACTAGTTGATGGTCGCCTTTCAAGTTTTTGTCTTGAACGGATTCACGTCCGTTTTCTGTTTTATGGTTGCATCCCCAAATGTTTCTTACTTCGACGGTACAATATTTGATATTTTTAGATACATTTTCAGACCTATTATTGGTGCAAAGTAGAAGTCAAAGTTTTGTATCTATTTTTCATGATATTATACATGAATTAGGTATATCATGGTGAATTCTCCAGAAAAAATTGTTTCTTTCACAATGGAATTTGATAAGTCAGATTTCACGTAAGCGTTTACAATAGTCTGTCTTGAAATTGTAAAGTGAGTGTACATGTAACATAAACTCAATGAGTGACCAACTTAAAATGATGAAAATTAACAATCAATGCACCCAAAAAAAAAAAGGGTCAATTCCAACCATCAACGAACGATTGTAGATAAATTTTACAATTTGCATTTACTTTTTATTTAAGGTACTCCACAGACTCTTACGTCCATATTCAAATATTGCTCCAGCAATAAACATTTTGAGAAGACAGCATAAGATCTAATATAAAGAGGCAAGTAACTCCAATAAAGCAGCAGCAAATTGCATTTCAAATATTGCTCCAGCAATAAACATTTTGAGAAGACAGCATAAGATCTAATATAAAGAGGCAAGTAACTCCAATAAAGCAGCAGCAAATTGCATTTGAGTCTCCTTATTAATAGTCAAGAACAGGGGAACATGTACAAATAGTGATTTAATTCCATTCTGCTCCGCAAACCGCAAGGAATGATAGTATACATAATTGCAAACAAATCGGCCAGCATCATCTGAAGTCGTCACTTCATAACCCATCTTTGCCAATGCATTGGTAATATCCTCAACAGGAAGGCAAGTCTGCAAGCAGTTAACAAAAGAATGTAGAGAAAAAATTTAAGCAAATCCATGCTGATTCCCATGAATTATGTGAAATATAACCTCCATATAAGAATATTCATATGATTTTTCCCTTTCAGAGTCGAATGAGTTCAAGACAACCATTCGAAGCTGGATAGAGATGATTTATGGTGATGTATATTCTCAGGAATCCTACATTTGCTGCAGTAGTTACTACTTATTCAGCTTTAAAATCTCTGTATTTTACAATTAGAACTCATCAACCTAACAGATTCACACAAATGATAAAAGCCATTTCTATAACCTGAAATGAAGCATTACTAAAAACAATTCTACCTCTCGTATTCGTGAAATCGCACCATCCGCAGGAACAATGGGGACTTTCTGCAATAAATATGAACACAAATATCAGTTCCATCCATCACTTAAGTTGGATGGGAAAATATTAAGTCATGTCTAACCTGAGGTTTCCATCCCATCTCATCAGGGCAACGAAATGTAGCTTCATTGACAGCTCGATGCTCTATGGCAAACCTTGTTGCACCACTATTAACTCCAAAATGTAGCTGAAAATAAATATCAAGACAGCGAAGAAACTTAGTCGATTGGAAAAGACTGGGTCTTTTAATCATAGAGACTCGAATTGGACCAAAAGTCAAGAGTTGAGAAGCAGGGGTGAGAAGAATAGGGGGAAAAGTTCATGCCTTGGCTTCACAAGGGCTTTCATCATCAAATCTTACAACCTGAACTCCTGAACTCTTTTAATTACATCTACTTTCCATGTTCATCAAAAGATTCAATAGATGATTAAAATTCAAGTAACGATGAATAAGTTCCAACTCTAAAGATCCCTTTAAACAACCTAGATTGAAATCTTGTAATATATGTTTGCAAGTGCTTTTTTTCTTTTCTTTTTTTTTTTTCCGTAATTTTTGTAACAAAGATGACACGTTTCGACAAAAGTTAGTAGTTCAAAAAGTAGCTCATAAATAGAAAGTAGGCAGCTTGTCCTGTTCTAATAAGCTGATATTATAGTGAGTAAAGAATCAAAATAATCTCAAATACAGAAAAAAAAATAAGAAGAAGAAGAAGATGAAGAAGAAAGGAAATTTAGGACTGCCATTTTCAAACACAATCCACCAAATATCCCAATGAATCCCCTGGTTGGTTTTACTAAAAATATAGATTTTGATCAAAGATGATGAAATGTGCATTTGAAAAGTTGATAAAAATTGTGGATCCCATGAAAGATGATGAAATGTGCATTTGAAAAATATGGATCCCATGAAACGAGTTGTTGAAAATGAGTTGGAGGAAAAATGAGTTATAGAAAATGGGACCAAACAGGGTCGAAAAGAATGGAGATAAATCCCTTCCCAATTGGCAGATTCGACAATTGAAGTCAGTACACAGTTCACAGCCAATGAAGCTGTGGATTAAAAAACTGATTTACCCAGTTGTAATATAATTGAGGAGGCAAAACGAGAAACTGACCCAAATTATTCTCCTAGGATTTGATACATTGACGTCCTGGTTCACAGCAGATTGCAGTGTTTGACATAGAGGAACAAGAGCTCCTTGACCTGCAGTATCAAGAATGGTGAAACTACCAAGGATCAACCCTTTTGGAAAACCCCTTTTTACCATATAGTCTTGAAGATTGTTAACAATTGTCTCTGTCGGATTTTCTGCAACTCCATGGAACTTCTTAAATCCAGTCACATGGATTGTCACTGGAGGAGCAGGTCCTTCAGACCCCATCTATAGATAATTTAGATGCTTGCAACAATGTCAAAGCATGAACTGTTCAGACCAATATCTGAATACCTGATAAAGACAAAACACCAAATGATGCGTTAATATACCTCACACAACAAAAATGAGAAAATTAATTCCCATAATATCCGCCAGAGAAATCAGTCATGTTATACAAGTTAAAATGCTCACATTGTTTGTCTTCCTTTATAACAAAACTCTTTAATTCTTATCCTTATTTTCAACCACACATTCACACAATAAAATATTTTACACGTAAAACCAAAACTTTTTCTTACGTTTAACTACACATTCTCCAAATAAAAAATCACACTCAAAAACATCATTTTTTCGCAATAATGACCATCAAACAGGATAGTACGTTTTGAGGTCCTCTATTCCATAAGAATCATTTATTACATAACAAAAAGCTTCAAGCTATTATTCATGACTGCAATTTTGTAGAAAGGGAGTTGCGAAAAAACAAACAAAACTCCGTTGATCAGGACGCAGTAGACGTAAGAACCTAAAGACTTTATAATAGTCCGCTCGGCAGGGCTTCGGCTTTTTCACAAGGGTGCTAACTTAGGCCAACTTCCTTTAAAAAGCTCTCCCTTCCATATAATTATCCAAACATATTCAAAAGCAATTTGTTAATCTGTGAACAGCTTTTAGCTCTTCAAAAGCCCAGCCAAACATACCTTAAAGAATTGAACTACGGCAAAGAGAAACATACTTATCCAAAATCAAATAAAGATCAACTAAAACCCCAATATCCCTAATACCGTAAACCCTTTTGATTAAGTCTGCACTAAACAATCCAAATTCCAAACCAAGTCAATCATACAAGAAATCAAAAGCCAATTTAAATTCAACAAGCATGATCGAGATAAAAACAAGTGAATCTGAGATGAGCAGGATCAAGAAAAATACCACAAAATTCGAAACTACGCCAAAAAAAAAATAATATAAAAAATAAGAAATAAATAAAAGAGGTGAAATCTTTTTTAATATTAATTTATACGCTAACCTGAAAGCTCAAATGCAGATGCATAAGAAGAGGAAATGACTCCACCACTGTATTATATGGCCAAAGCAGTGGTTATAATTGTAATTTTATATTGCTTTTGGTAGACTAAAACCTGATTGGAGACGAAAAAATAAATAGTGGGTTTGGTTTTACTGATCCACAATTATAAATTATAAATGATTTATAACACAATTATTGCAATGGTGATGATGAACTTTAAAGAAAGAAAGAAAGTTGTGTTGGAACAATAATTGAATACAACAAATTAAGACTTAACTTCATAAATAGTCGAGTTATTCTCGTGACAGTGGAGAAACCCTAAATGGTCCCTCATATTTGTGAAAAATATCGCGTTGGTGCGTTTGATTGAAATGGTTCTCGTTAGTCCTCTCTAATAACCTAGTAATTTTGGATATTAGAGGGTTGAAGCTTACTACAATTGGAGAAAGGATGATTAAAAAGAGATATGATTTTTTTTAATAATAATAATAATAATTATTATTATTATTATTATTATTATTATTATTTTATTTTTTGTAGAAAATGACAAAAAAAGTAGAGAGAAAAGAAGGAAATTAAATTATTAAAAAGAGATGATATTAATAGGTGATGGGTGGAATATTTTTTTTGTATCATGCTCTAAATGAAAGAGAAAAGAGAAATATTGAAGGCGAGATATTGCTTATACGAAAATATTTTTCATATTTTATTTTATTTTTGTTTGGTGAAAGTCTTTCATAATTTTGAGAGTGAGCGAAGATTTTACATTTGTACTTTCTGCTTAAAAGTTAACTGTGAAGGAAATCATTGACATTTTGAAAAAAAAAAATATTGACTTCCTAAGATTTTTTAAAAGTCTTAATCTGATATTTAAAAACTTTTAAGAACTTTTAAAAAGTCTATGTTGAATATCATAAGACTTTTATAGCGTTTTAAAAAGTCTTGATTAAATACACTTCCAAAATGTAAGAATATATGACACATCTACCTTGTTTGGCCCCTATTTTTCGGAAATGAAGATGGGAGACAGTGTTTTTTTGAAAAATAAGTGATTGAAAAAGAATGAAAAGTTTTCGATTTACGAGTATTATTATTTTATAAAAAATTGTGTGATTGAAAATATGATAGAAAAGTGTAATGTAATGAAATTTAATATAATGATATTCAATCGAAGCTAAAGTGATCAGATCATGCATTTGACAACTTAATATTTTTCAAAAGAAATATTGACGTGTAAATAAATTTTCGGGGGTAATTTTTAGTTTGGCCAAGTCAAAGAGCCAATTTTTCACTTTAACCAAAAAAAATTTGCCTATCACCAAAATAGCCTATTATTGAGTAAAAGACAAAAATACCCTTAAGTAGTTTATATAATTACAAAAATAGAATTTTGTTTGAAAAGACAAAAATACCCTTAACTTACAAATTAAAAAATCAAACACTTTTCACTTTATATTTAATTATTTATTTTAAACAATTACTCAAATTAAAAAAATTAATATTAAATTTACTTTCTTGTTTAAATATTTCATTAATTAATTATCTTAATCGATTATGTATATTATTTATTTAATATTTAATTTCTTTATTTAATTATTTATTTAATCACTTGCTTAAATAAAAAATTAATATTTAATTTGATTTCTCATTTAAATATTTTATTAATTTATTATCTTAATTGATTATGTATATTTAATAAATTATTTAATTATTTATTCGGCGCCCGTGGTGGCTTGGAATCCGTTGTTTCAACCAGAAGATTTCATGGATGATCCGCCGCAAACGCCTCTGAATTTTACAGCTCAATTAGATTCCAGCGGCCATTCAAAGGGGAAAAAGGAAGAGGAGCCTAAAGATGAAGATCAAGGTGGAGACACGGGATTGGATCTCAATCTTTCGCTTTAGAGGAATTCTACTAATTAATCCTTGTTTGGCAATCATTATGAGAGGAAAATAGAGTTTTGAATAGTTTACGAGCAAAATAAAATTATTGTGTGAATGCTTGGTTTAAAATCTATAGAGTAATTTTGAATATTCTATCTATGTTTATTTTTTAAATCTTGAGTAATTTATCTTTAATGAAAAATATGTTAGTCAATAATCTTGGATTTATTTGCTATTTATTATAAAATTATTTATTTTTTTGGTGGAAGTTAAAGAGTGGACTGTGGCACCCCGAAATTTAGATTCCTAAATTTGGAGATATTATATTTTAACTCTCTTGAAATCATAAATACAAAAGCGATTTAATTTTTCTTTGACAAATTGAACATTATTGATTTCATTTTAGGAAATAGATTTGTACTTAATAAAATCATAAGGCGATAAAAATAAAAGTTTACTTTATTTCAAAACAAAATATAGAACAATTAAATTGATTGTCAACTTTAATCACCGAAAAAGAATCCAACAATTAAATATAATATTACTGAGTCCGTGTCACCACAAGTCGTCACCTCGCATCATTTTGCTTTCATCATTTGAAAATTGGGAGAGATAACGTGGGATGAGCTAACGCTCAGTAAGTAAACTTCATGTATATGATGCATGCTCATGATATGCATATGAGTTACTTACAAATAAAAATCATTTCTCATTATGTATTCCCATTCTTTCGTTTCTTTAAAAACATTAACATTGACATCGTGAGTTCACTTGATATATTGTCTATAGTCAATCAGAATGCAATGAGTCATGTTATTTGGAACCCGATCGAATCTACCAATAATACCGCAAAGCGGTTAATATTAACATTGAACATTCATCATTCAACCGCAGAGCGATTAACATTAATATTCATCATTGGTCGAGCACACCGGTCCCCCTCGCCCCATTTCCCACTCACAGCTTTATGGCATAGACATACATCTCATAACAAAAACATTCGAAATACATATCTTTAAACATTTGCTGAGTCATTGGCATTTGGAAACCTTTGTTCGTTGAAACTTCGTGTATGCTTATGGATGCATTGTCGTGCATGAATATGTCATAATAAGCATTCATAATATAAAATGTAATAAATATACATCAGGTTCACATAATAGCAAATTAGATAACACTTTCATATATTTAATCATGTAACGTACGAATGAAAATAAAGAGAGGTTTACTTACCTCGAATCCTTAGCAACTAACTTTTCAAACGGCAAGTAGAGATGTTCTTAGCCACCTACAAAATCAACATGCCCCAAATCCTAATGCATTATCATTTGCTTAGTAACTTCGATTAAATCCACCTTTAAAAATACCACTAATTGGTTCAAGGATCACTAAATATTAAACCATTTTACTACCTACTTCAAGAACACACACACACATAGACAGACAACACGTGTGCACTCGCCTAGTTACTTTTGTACATATACAAACATACACATATACATACCGTCCACACGTTCACACTGAAGATATATATATATATATATGTGTGTGTGTGTGTGTGTGTGTGTGTATAGAGATACAGTGTATAGATGTGTGTGCATAATGGTGTGCTTGTGGATCTTGCTGTGCATATAAATATGTATATAGATATGCGTGTACATGGGTATGCATATATATTTGCATAGGTGTTCGTGGTATAGTGTGGGTACACAATCTTCCATAAAATAATATTACACGTAAATTGAAAAGTTTTCCTCTTTTTCAACCACTCATTTTTCTAAAAAATACTATTCCCCCCATTTCCATTTTCAAGTAATGGGGGTCAAACGGGGGGCTATAATTTAAATTGCGAGGAGGTGCATAAATAGGAAAAATCAATACTTTAATATAGGGACGTTTAATGTGGCATGCAATCTGTTAATTATGTAATTAAGCAACAAATCTTTCCATGTAAATTTATTTAGCCATAACTTGCTTGATTTGGTTATAACATCCTTTCTTAATACGAAACGGATGTCAATTAAATTAAGGTAGAATAAATCTTCCTAATATGAATATAAAATGGAAGGTTACGCGGGCAAGTCAAGATCGTTAGTCAAAATTGCAAGTGTACAACATAATAAAATATCATATAACTTAATGCAAATTTAATGAAATTAAATGCATGTTAAATTTAGAATTAATAAGCACGTCGATAGTTTAGGGCGTACAAGGTACATTCCAGTACAACAACACAGCTTGTCACGACAAAATAATAGTAATGAAATTAATTAACCAGACATGATAATTACGGGTTAAAAAAAAAAAACATGCGATGTTACATGGACATTGAATGATTCAATCCGAATATCTTAAAAATAAGGTAAAATTAATCAACTCTCATCGAACTTTCAACAAATTACTATTTATTCATAGAAACTTTAAGGGTGTGTTTGATACACCAAAATTTTCCATGGAAAATGAAATTTCAACAACATTTTCCAACTTTTAAGGTGTCTGATGGGTATATTTTTCCATGGAATCAAGTTCTTTCTTTTCTTGAAATTTGAAAATTTCTTGGTTTTTAGTGGGAATTGGTTTTCTCGATTTTCCATGGAATCAAGTTCTTTCTTTTCTTGAAATTTGAAAATTTCTTGGTTTTTAGTGGGAATTGGTTTACCCGGTTACTCTATATATATATATATTTTTTTTTTTTTCGTTTTTCATTTTTGGTTGGCAAAATTAACAAATTATAAGAATTACTGTAAAAAAAATATTTCCATTTAATTGACAATTTTCATGTAAAATAAAGTCAAACGAATATTAAAAGATAGATGATTTTCTTGAAGTTTTTTTATTTTTTGCAATAGAAACAAGTTTCATCCCCAATACCAGTAAAATTTATCCCTTTAATTGACAATTTTCATGTCAAAGAGAGCCAAACGAATACCAAAAAATACTTTTATTTCAACGTTTTTCACAATAATTTACAATTCTCATGAAAACGATTTCTAAGCAATTTAATCCCTTGAAATTCGTTTTCAATTCAATTTCATCTTTACAATCAAACGGACCCTAAAAATATCTCAAGACACCTTTCAATTCATCATTCGTGAACAAATCAGTTACAACTCTTGACAAAAAAAACTCACATTGTTGGCACGCTAACGACATTAAAAGCCTCCACCTCGAACGAAATGTATTATTAATTGTATATATCTACACAATCCATTCTCTATGGGTAAAGTTTACGATACGACCAACATGAATGATTATGCTAATATTAAAACAACTTCACAGATAAAAAAGAAACATGACAAACCATAATATTTTATACCAAAAAGTATCTATTCAAATATTGTCGTACAAGAACGACGACCCCACTCATCGTACGAAGAAAAGGAAAAATATATGACTTATAATGGGATCCACTCACAAAGTGAATATCTTTTCGATACATGAAGTCCAAATTCATCTATTTTTAAATAGTTCGGAGACTCGGAGTCTCACAAAATCTCACATTTGAAAGTCAGAAATCTTTAGTCAAACTACATAAATGGTTAAGGAGCTCCTCGTAATTTTTTTCTTCTCCGTCTGAATTTTATCTTGGTTAATGGTCATTATGGACTCGTTCGACAAAATTTTATGAAGATGCTTCTTTTATTTAAATTTTTTTTTCGAGAAAACTAATTAGGCTCTGTTTGGGAGGAATTTTGAGAATTGATTTTTTGATCGTTAGAAGAAAAGTGGAGTCCACTTATGAGAGAATAAGTCAAAAATTATGACTGAAATAGTGAAATAATAGTCAAAAAATCAATTTTTTGGGATAAAAAATTCTTCCCAAACAAGCTCTAAGTATAACTTACGCGAGAACCTAAGGGGCTGTTCTCTTTGTCGTTTTCGAGCCATTTTCTATTTTCTATTTTTCAAAAGGGTGAAAACGTGTTCCCTTTCCCGTTTTCAAAAATGAATTTTTGAAAGAAAAAAAAATTGTACTAAAAACGCAAAACGGCAGTTTGAGTGTTTTGAGTGTTTTCAGTATAAAAATACGCTGAAATTGAAAACACGGGATACGACCCAAATGAAAAACCAACCCTTACCTCTCTCTCACAGTCTCATTGTCGTCTCTCTCCCCCCGTAAATTTTCGCCTCTTGTTCTCTAGGTTTGCTCTGCCAATCTCACTCAATTCTTCAACTCCCACGAATGGCTGCGCTCCTCGGTTCAACGCCTCAGATCGGCTAGGAAATTGCGTGAAGAGGTGAGACTTCCTGTAAAAATTTCTCATATTTTGACCGAGTGGTTCTTGAAAATTCCTTGCACTAAATCTTTTTAACTCTCAACTTCACAATCGCAACTCATGGTCAGTGTAGACTAGGTAATTTAGCCTTTTTTCCAGTTTATATTTCAGGTGTTCTCTGTTTGTATGATTACGTTACTCGACCTCTTTGATTTCCATAGTTCATACGGTGATTTAAAGGATTCATTTTGATTTTCATAGTTCATATGGTGATTGGGGTGCTTGCATTTGTTTATTTTTTTTTTGATTTTATGTACAAACTTGTAATATAGGGAAAAAAGAGAGGGTAAAAGATGTTGGGATAGAAGGATGATATTGCAATTAAAGCTGTTATGAGGTTGGGAATAATCCGGATTTAGCAATTACCCTTGTGAGAACATCATTGCTTACAGGAAAAATGTACATGCTAGAAATTTTGAATGGACATTTGGACGTGTGCTATCGTAATTTTCGTATGCAAAAACATATTTTTATGAATTTTTGTGATATTTTGAAAGAGAAAGGGTTGTTGAAAGATGGGAAAAAAGTGAGCGTCGAAGAGGGCGTTGTTATGTTTCTGATGATTGTAGGATACATTACACGATACAGTGTTATTGGTGATAGGTTTCAGCATTCCAACAACACGATACACAAATGGTTTAAACGAGTTATAAGAGTTGTTTGTTCATTTGGCACTAAGATAATCCGTTCGACTAATCAAGACATATTGCATGAGCGAATTTTGAGCAAATATCATTTCTTTAAGGATTATATAGGCGCAGTAGATGGAACACATGTTGCAGCTTGGGCTCCTGCATCGAGACAAAACATCTTTTCGAGGAAGGAAAACTAATGTAACACAAAATGTGATGTTGACATGTGATTTTGATATGATTCACATTTGTGTACTCTGGTTGGGAAGGTACTGCTAATGATTCGCGAGTGTTCGTTGATGCAGTAACAAGAAGCTCGAACAACTTTCCAATGCCACGAGGAGGTATATTCTTATACTTCAAATAATTATTATGAATATATTTACAGTGTCACATTATGTAAGTCTTTTTTTTATTTTGCAGATCAATTTTACCTTGTTGATTCTGGATATCCAAACATGCCTGGATTTCTTGCCCCTTATCGAGGTCAAAGATATCATCTGCATGATTATGTTGGGCGGGGAAGACTACGTGGGAAGGAAAAATTGTTCAACTATAGACACTCCTCATGCCGTAATATTATTGAACGTTGCATCGGAGTTTTAAAGGCAAGATTTCCTATTTTGAAGTTGATTACCAATTATCCATTCAGTAGGCAAAGACAAATCCCTACTGCATGTTGCGCAATAAACAACTTTATTCGTTAGGAGCACGCATTAGATAAGTTGTTCGTAGAGTATTCAGAGGAGAATATGGTGTTTCAAAACATACCAGAGTCAAGTCAAGATCAAGAAGTCATACATTTTGATGCTAGTCAAACAACTAAAATGGGATAAGTTAGGGATCAAATTGCTACACAAATGTGAAATGATTACTCAAGACATCGTACATGATTTCGTGGATGTAGTTTAAATTTTGTTTAGTGTCTTTTTGTTTTGTTATGACACGTAAACTTCTAACAGTATCTATTGAACTATGTTGTCAAATTTAATTTAGGTTGTGTTTTTTATATCTGTCAAAAAATATTTCAAAATTCACCAACTTCAAAATTTATATGTTATTTAATACTATATTAACATGAAACTATTAAAATTTATTGTATAATCATATTTCTTGAATAAAATATTATTAAAAAATATTTTCAAAATTTTAAAGTAAACGCGTTTTTCAATTTTATATTTTCAAAAATAATTTCTCAAAAATGATAAAGAGAACGCATTTTCAGTAATTTCAAAAAAGACACTCAAAACACAAAACACAAAACACAAAATACAAAACTCAAAACTACAAAACTGAAGCCCGAAGAGAGCACCCTAAACCTCCCCACCTTTTTGAAAAATTATTTTTCAAACAAACACAATAAGCAAAATTAATGCCATTGGTACGCTAACACGATATTTAACTGAAATTAACAATCGAAGCGACTTTGGATTTCCCAGGACTGTGTGTGTTCGAAGAAGATCTGCCGTCTCCCTTCAATTTAGCCTTCTCGCGCGTAATGCCTCTCATCTTTCATATACGTATGTTTCACGTTTACGGATGCATCCATATTACATACGCGTATGAAATTTCAGATCTGGACTTAGAATTAGATTTCACAAAGTAACTGTTTAATTATTTATTACGATACAGTTATGTGCGTATTTGTCTGAATCAATTGATCTTCTTTGTTTGATATGCGTATTTGAATCGAATTTAAATTTGCTTGAATGGACATTTTATTCTTATATTTGTGCTTGTTCTTTTCTATTTTCATCATTGTGCTAAACCTGGAGGTCATTTATAACATGCGAGTTTCATGTTCAATCATAGATAAAAATGATTACTTTGTGAATTCTTATTATATCACACGAAGCCTATTGTTTTCGTGCTTAATATTTATAATTGTGTTTTGCTATGCTTGATGACCTATTAGTTTGACAGATCCACCTTCATTATTAATGCACTTTTTGCAATGTTGATTTTTTGTTTTTGCTATTCCATGTGCTAGGATCTGGGGTTCTCAGGATGCCCATCATTTCATTTTAAATGAACTACACAAAGTAATTACTGGGTTTTCTTTTATAAAATGGGAAACGTATATTAATTTAAATTTAATATCAGCTGGGAACATAAACTATCTTTTTTTTTTTTGGGGGATATCAGCTGGGTACATAAACTATCTTTTTGGGGGGGAAAAAGGGAAAAGCCGAAATTGAAGCCAATACAAAAGAAACTTAGTCCTAGGGTTATTTAGATACTCAATTCATCATATAAACTACTGACTCTTATATATTGTTGCTTCCACTTCTTCGTGTCATCTGTTAAACAATGAAAATTCTAGTGAACTCCAATATTTTGTCGAGTTTATGGTATGCAGTAATTTGAATTTTATTTCTGTTTTGTACAGATAAAAAATCGAAATGGGGTTATCATTTACCAAACTTTTCAGCCGGCTGTTCGCTAAGAAGGAAATGAGAATTCTTATGGTGGGTCTTGATGCTGCTGGTAAGACCACCATACTTTACAAGCTCAAGCTGGGAGAAATCGTTACTACTATTCCTACAATTGGTATGTTCTTTCATGTACTTATTGGCCGTTTGAATATGTTTTCTGTTCAGTTGTCCTCTTCTTTGATCTCTTCTTTGATTCCTAGTTTAATGTTCTGTTCTTCTTTGCTTGTATTAAGGTTGCCTCTGGCTTCCATTGTACCACTTGAATTCTATTAATTAGTGTGCAATGTGCATGTATTTTTGCGTGTGATTATGTGTGAGTGCAACACACCCACACAGAGAGATGACTCGTTGTTAACAAAAGGGTGGGGAAGAACCAAAATTCCAAGTTCCCAGTTCTTAGTCATATAGGTAGGCAAGTGAGAATTCAGTGAATTATTAACAAAACTAGTAGACCAATTCAATACGATGTTCTTCATTAATTATGTTATACCTCATTCCAACAATTTTAACCTGACATTCACTTGGTCAGATACTGCTAATGTAGTTTCTAACCATTGTTGTAATTATTCACCCCAGCATCAAAGGACATAAAGATATAGTATAATACTTATTTTCAGTTACAAGGAACTCATTTCAATTTCCCTCCAGGATTCAATGTGGAAACGGTGGAATACAAGAATATCAGCTTTACTGTCTGGGATGTCGGTGGTCAAGACAAGGTATACAATATTAATTCACAGTCTTGTCTTTACTTTTGAAAATTCCCTAATGGAGTGGGCCAACTATGTGAGAGTGATAGAATAACAATATTTATTTATGACTTCATGGAAGCTCTCAGAAAATCAGTTCTACTGAACTATCCTATCTTATCTTAATTTGTTATGTTATTGATTGTAGTTTCTGCTTAACTTTTTGGGCTTTTTTTCATTCGTTTATGTTACCATGAGGAACTTGATGCTCTAAATAAGCATCATTATTACAGGGTAATTTTTAAAATGTCTTGGCATATTTCAGATCAATTGGAATGCAATAACAATATGGAAAATGAGCATTAAGTTATATATGTGCTTTCAAAACAGAAATATGGGTAAACAGATTAGAATAATGGCTTAGAACCACATTAAATGCTTAACGCTCTAGGTTTAAGTCATTCATCGAAGATACATGTGCACTGGAGATTAGGTAATAAATGTGTATGGGAGGATCATTTTTTGGGGTAAGGGGTGGCTGGATGTAGATGCTCTGGGTTTTCGTAGCCTGCACATTCAGATTCAAATAAACTACTTGGCTTGCAGCTGACGTCTTCCACTGCAGCCAGTTTATATTATGTCTTGAGATAGTCGTGATTCAATGCTAAAAATTAGTTAAGTATCAAGCTATAGTCCTGGACAATGGCATTCACAAATGTTTTTACTCATTTTTCTATTATGCCATCTGACTTAATATTTCTTATGTTTTATCTAGAACCATTTTGTTATACTGGGGAATATGCTTCATCTGTGGTATATACTGAAAGAAATAAGCATACAATCTTTGATATATGTGACCTTTTTTCAAGTTGCCTCAGTGCTAGTTAAGAAGTCCTAGTCCCTCTTCAAAATAATAGCTACACATATTGCATGGACTCGGGTGCAAGAGTCGGATATATTTTTCTAAGATCGACAGTATGGGGTTGCAGCTAAAAATAATCCAAAATTTTGACATAGATACATGGATACATCATATATATATGTCCTAAGCACCACTAAGCACTCTAGTGACTGGCACGCCACAATAGGTAGTGGAAAATAATGGTTGGTTACAAAACTGTTTACACCACCTATTATAGTATGCTATGTCACTTGGTATAATAAGCACCGGTGCTTAGGAGATCAATTCCATATATATATAGAAATGTGAAATGCACATCAGAAATCATTTTATGTACACTACCCAAATAACAAAAACAATATAAAAATGATCCTCTTTTAATTAAAGGACCTAGCAAGGATCCCATACCCCTATTTTTTGAAGAGTTTGAGCAACATGGAGCTACACTACTATCTTTGACTGGTCGAATTTTTTTCGTGAAATGCTATTGCCTGCATTTTACTTAATTTTAGTATTTAACTTTTGAAAAGTGTGCATTTGGGTTCCCATGTCATGGAAACCGTCATGTGGACGTCCAAATCACACACTTGGAAGGTTGGGTAGCCGCACTAGTTTTCCCAAAAATGTTAAACTATGTTAAAATTCGTACCATTTGACTGTTATCACATTAAAACATTGTGACAATAAAAAGACAGTTTGACTGTAGCAAATGAATCAACAACAATGGGACTGAGCAAATAATCGTTACAATAAACATAATTAAGAATCTTGTGGAGAAATAACAAGAATAGTTGATTTTTACCCCTCGGTAAGATGGTAACTAATTTTGGGTCTACATTTCATTTCCTATTCGAATGTTGCTCGATGAGCTTATAATTATAACATTATCAAAAGTAACATGTCACCTGCTTATGTAAGTGGCTACTACTTTTCCTCCCTCGATCATATCCCAAACACAATTATTGTCCTCCCATTATACAATCCTTCTGGGGTGCACAAAATGGATGCCAGCTGATGGGCATTGTACTGTAAGTTGATACTTGCCCTGACCCTAGCCCCACACTTGATTAAAAATGGAAAATGCGAAATAAAAAGATTGAACAGAGTTACATGGATCAATCCGTGATGCTTGAATGATTATTTAAGATGGTATTAGGGACATGCAATTGCACGAATAATTTCTTAATTATATCTTTCTATTGTTTCATGTGTGCCGTCATTTGTTTAACTAAAAGTTCAGTGTTTTTAAAATTTGACTATTTTGTCTGAGTTTACTCTGAACTCCATTGATCCAGATTCGACCATTGTGGAGACATTACTTTCAAAACACTCAAGGACTTATCTTTGTGGTTGATAGTAATGATCGAGATCGTGTAGTTGAGGCTAGGGACGAGCTGCATAGGATGTTGAATGAGGTAATCAAACTAATGTACACGATGTGCCTCTTGTTGGTATTTAGTACATTGAAGAAAGGCTTTGATAAATATAAGACAAGAACTCGGAGGTATTAGTAGAGGCTATAAAGCCTGTTTACTTAACTGAAGCAAGATGGATAATTGTAGGTTTTATATTGCCTGATTTTGAACTAATGCCTGTATAGGATGAATTGAGAGATGCAGTGCTGCTGGTATTTGCAAACAAACAAGATCTGCCGAATGCTATGAATGCTGCTGAGATAACTGACAAGCTTGGACTTCACTCGCTCCGTCAACGTCATTGGTATTGTCTCGTGTGCCTATATGAAAATAAGAGAAGATTTTTTGCAACTTGGTCCACATGTAAATCCACATGGCTTATTTCAAATGCTAAGGGCTTTCCTTTTTCACATTTCTCACAGGTATATCCAAAGCACATGTGCAACTTCGGGGGAGGGGCTTTACGAGGGTCTCGACTGGCTCTCCAACAATATTGCTAACAAGGTCGGCCAATTTGATTGCCCTCTAAGAGCTTATTCTGTTGGCTTAGTTCTTATTCAGCTGATTGCAAGCCCTTGTGATCTTTTTCCTTTTTCCTAATGCAGGCCTAAACAAGGCATTTTCTTCAGTGCTTTTGATAGCCGAAAGCTTGTTGAAGAGGAAATTATTTCCCATTATAAGGGCTTTTTATCATGTACACCTTGCTTTACTAGAGCAATCTGCCTTCTGTGCTTAATTTTGTTTCTCGTAGAGACTTGAGATTACTGTGAAGTAGATTCGAAAGGCCTTATGTACTTTCTGCATTCCTTTTTACGCTATATTAGCAGCATGTGTTTATTTTGTTCAATATAATTATACTTTTCCCCTGACTTGGTGGATAATTGGAGATTAGACAGACAGTTAAGAATTAGAATATAGCCCCCAAGTTTTCTAAAAAGAAAAGAAACAATACCTCAAATCAATGACACATCACCCTCCAAACTTGAAAGGGTTCACGAGGAAGATCACGTTCAACTGAGTTTTCACCTTCTTGATATTCGATTTCTTCTAACCCGACTTAGAATTCAAGCGAGAAACAGCCATTAACGTGTCAAACTTGGAAGTGAAAGGCAAATGTTCATCGACTAACCTCCTATCTCGAAAAGAACTAACAATGATACTTGTCATAACAACTCTTCAAAACAAAGAATGTTATCTAGAAGAATTTTTGGCCTGAATAAAAAACTCGCAATAATTTCTACTAGAAAATAGCATTACAAAGATATACACTAACTGCAGGTTACAATTTCATGACATCAATTGCTTAATAGATTTCAAGCAAAATGTTGGCAAGCAATTAAAAAGAACCAAACAGTTGGATTTCCAAAACGCTTTATATAAGGAATAGTTTTTAAGCTACCCGTATACTACCAGACGCTGTTATATCTCTACAAGACCGCAAAAGAAAACTCCAAATCACCACACATAATGATCACCCAAATGAAAGCATTTCTTAAAGATTCTCATTGCAGTTTTCTTCTTTATCTGTCTTATGTACGCCACATTCAAACGACTGTAAATGCCGATTGTACGGTAGAAGAGAACCGAGAAGCAAGGGTCTCAGTGGCAAATGCTTGAAGCTGCTTCTTAGCGTCTGGAATCAATGTAATGGAAAATTTTAGTACTCAAGGAGACACGTATATATATGCACATATATATCTAGGCGTCTTGCTATCTTCACGTAAACATTTTTCCATGAAAAAATTGCCATGAGGCTGAGGTGTAATATAATGGCATGATAAATAAATAAAACTTTGAGGACTTGGAAGAATTCTCATTTCCGACTAGTAGTTAGAGCTTCAAATAAAATATTGTATGAATTCTTTTGCATTCATCTATATGCTCAGTTCTCCACCGGCCGAGAGAATTTGCATCTCTCCACCAATGGAGTTCGACTTTTGTGCCGAAAGGCTATTGCGCAATTCAATAAAGATAGAAAAACGATATTTGCAAAATAATAATAATAATAATAAATAAATAAATAAATAAAAATAAAACAGGTGTTAGCTCCAAATTTAACTAATATCAAAATTCTACACTTTTTGTTAATTCCATAAGAAAAAAAAATGTTGTGAGTATTTATTCACAACGCATATGTTGAGTTTGTGACAGGCGAAGAAGATAGATTAGTGAAAAGGTTCCTGGTGCTAGGCTGGCTGTCTGTGGTTTGGGCAGGCGGAGATGTGAAGTTTGATTTTATCGTACCATAGAATTAACTTGAACCACAAGAGGGTAAAAATGTTCCTAAAAAGAACAGGATCAATATCACAGATCTATAACTTGAGGAGGTGACACCTAACGAGCCATAGATTACCAACGGAGAGTGCTGTATGTCTAGTTGGAATATACAAAGATCATCCTTTCTTACTAATTTGAATTACATAAAGACCCTCAACGATGCTCTGTAAGATACTAAGATAAGTTTAACAAGACCCAAAATATGTCAGACAAAAATTAGTAATGCTTACTCCTTACTAAAGTACGTTAACAATACACAGACACATGCAAGGATATATATACACATGAACATACTTGTGTGACCTATACAAAAGTGAACTAGACAATATAAGATTTAATGTATTTGAATGTTTGAAACTTACACAGGGATCTCTTCTTGCATGAATAGAAGAGTAAATGGACCCAGTAGTGCAGAAGTGGGTGCGATTGGCTACTATAGATGGAACTGACAAACTATAATTTGCAGCCATCACTATATTACTCCTCATATGGTCATAAATAATAGAGTATAAACCAGTATATCAAACATTATATCTGGTAAACAACATGTTAAAAACTGCTGAAATTTAAAGGTTAGATCATTAAACCTACACACCTTTGCGGCATTTCGTAAAGCCAACAATATTTGCAATGCTGAGGGTCAAACAAACTCCAACAACAAGAAGATAATCAGCTTGAAACCTTACAAGGGAAAATATCCCAAGAAAGAGCCACAAAACAGCCTACAAGCACAAGCAAGATCATTTAGCTCCCTTACAAGGGAAAATATCCCAAGAAAGAGCCAAAAAACAGCCTACAAGCACAAGCAAGATCATTTAGCTAAGATAGTGAATATGTAAAACAATTCTCAATTTTTTTCAACTTTACAGAAACAACTGGGGTCAGTCTAGCTGTATTGAAACCAGCCGATATGATAACTCAGTGTCCAAATCTAATAAATGTTTGTAACTAAATTGAAATAGACATATGCATGTCAAAGAAACTATGGGGTTTGACAAAGCCATTGATACAAGTTGATGAATTGAAAAGTCGATCAAATGTGGGTCCCATAAAATGTGAAGTTAAAATTTAAGTTTGATTTGTTGATGAAATTTTAGCAAAGTTTTATCAAACAAGCACTATGTCTCTAGTTGACAAAGATGGCTATGAGGCAAATACCTTTCCAGAGAAATCGCATGTCTCTAGCATGTATTAGCATAACTCTTTTAAGAATTCTATGTATTAATTGTGTATTATATTAAAAATATGAGGTCATATCATATGCTTTAATACAGAATGATACTTACAGTAAGGTATAAGGTCCACCAGAACAGCCATGAATCCTTCTTATTAATCCGAGCCAATGACTGAGAAGGAGAGAGCCGGAAATTGGGTAAAATATATGTCAGAAGAAGTCAAATACAACATAATGATTCATATTGTAGAGACCAAAAATATCTACAACCTTCAAATATATTGAAGGCATCACCAATGGTAAATATGCTAAGTAAGATTGTGTGACACATAATTACCCACCTCTTGGTCAAGGCATTCAAATTTCCACACACTCTCACCCTCTTCATTTATTTCATTCCACCATCTTAAACCGACCAAGATGCGTCCACTCACATTCTTGACTACCCAAAAATCAAGAGCAGCTAGAAGCACGGTAACAACAAAAATAATGACAAAGCTATCAAAAAATAGAGCTGAAAGTATGTAAAATGCCAATGCTGCAGCCTGCCAAATGGAAGAATATAATGTTATCCGTATGTGAAATTTGCAAAATAGAAATAACATCAAAAAATAAGATATAAAAGACCTTGAATATCACATGGAAGAAACATACAACTGGATGAGCATAATTCTCCCCTGCAGGCTGAGAACAAAAATAAAGAAATTTATGATGAGCAATCAAGCAATGTTTCTATTCATTTGTTTTTTTGTGTCTGAGAGAGATGTTGGAAGACAAATCATTGGAGGGTCTATTAGATAAACTTATGGTATTTCCCCGTCCAGATGCAACAGAAAATCCAGAGTTCTGTTTTTAGCCCTGTTTGTCATTCCCAATAATAGAATTCCTTAAATCTAATTCTTTCTTGCCCTCTTCTTCTACCTGCACCTATATTTTCCTACCTATCTTGATATACAACTACGACAGATGAAAGTTTTCTTCAAGCAAATATAGGGTTCAAAATGCCAACTTTATATATAAACCAGTTCTAACGATTCTACCTGTACTGTTGAAGTCATGAAAATAAGTATATATGTTACTTTTCTACACTTTCATTTTTCCAGTGGTACTCCCCCAGGCTGCAACAGGTTTCGTTTCATTTACTGGTATGGGACTAATTGGTCACACTTCTCAGCATACTGACCCACCAATTGTTCACAATAATGAACCAAAAAACCAAAACAAAAATAAAATGAAACCTGTTGCAGCCTGGGGAACTGCCTCTGGAAAAGATTATACATATATTAAAAGATTTAATATTATTGTGTATTTTCAGTAAAAAAATTTAGCTGTAAATTAAATTAAAACTCTGGTTGTGTATTTCCAATAAATATTATTTATTCTCAATAAATTATTGATAATAACAATAGTTATTTATTAAGTAAATTTTTTTGTCAATCTATAGCCAATAATATTGAGCTTTAAAAGAGTTTAAGACTAATAGAAGTGTCCTAACATATCTGATAGTATCAAAAAATAATTAAATACGCATCCAAAAAGTATCGAAAATTTTAAAAATATAGTACTAAATTTTAAAAGATCCACACCATCACGGTGGCTTATTGAAAATATAGTTTAGGAGATCAAGGATGCAGAGTGACGGTGGATCTTTTAAAATTCCATACTATGCAATTTAGTTGCAGAAGATTGAGAAAATAATACGAAAATCAGTGTACTTAAAAGGATGATTTTATGGTGCATCAACAAAAATATGTTTGATTGAGAAAATAATTTTAGAAAGTGCCAGCCCTGACTTACAATGCTACACAAGAGTCGGTAACTAGATGATTTATAACCATTCGGAGAATAAGGTGAAGGGGTTTAGCAGGGGGACCAGAGGATGCCATTAAATGCAAAATTGGATTTTAATGATAAAATGAAAGACAAGCAGAGGCTAATTATACGCAGAAAACAGAACCATCGAGGCAGGAAGAGAAAACCACAGAATGTAAAACTAGGTACGACACCTAGGATTTTACCACATGCAAAGAAACATGTTAAAATGCATCAGAAATCAAACGAGAAACCAGGAATTACATTTGTATCGCATACGCTGCTACTTCTTTTTCATGTGCTGCATGGCGTTAAACTCAAGTAATTTAGCTTGGGCCAATAGAAATACAAAGTATAATAGCAACCACTGGTATAAATCAAATCCAGAGAGTGCAGTAAAAACCAGCATTTCTCTATAATTATTATCAGACCACCATAAACTGGAAACCGCAGAGTTGAGAAGGGCAAAAAAATAAAACCCAATTAAGTCCGTCTTCTGTCCCAAACAAATCCTCAACCTAGGACAACATTGATTGTGTGCCATTCCACTTAATTAAAATTTCCAACCAACATAAACAACCTTTTTCCAATTTAAACCCCCTCACCCTCCCCACAACCTCAAAAAAAAATAAAAAATCTATAATCCTAATCATAGTAGCTTCCCACCTCGACCATAACTTAAAATCTCTATGTTCTTAATCCTGTAAATTGTTTGAACTTGTAAAAGACAGAGACGGGTAAATTTCATGAACAAAGCTGAAAAAATCACCTTAAAAATGAAAGCAAGTCTTCGATGAGACTAAAACCAATTGCTCATAACTGACATATAAATTATGTCCCTGCATAACTTATCCTCAGCAAAATAGCATCGATATAACCATTTGTTTTTCTTTTATCAAATTTCAGCGAATGCTTCTGATAGAATATGAGCTGCATAGTATCAAACGATCCCAGAAGGTAAATTTATGGCTATGTCCATTACACCAAAGTACTTATCAAGACCGTCAACTTATGCCCTGTCCATAT